CCACCAGGGTTCCTCCTGGAACGCTATAGCAGCCATTCTCCACCATGGTTCCATGGAACCCTAGGATTCCTCCTGGAACGCTATAGCAGCCATTCTTCACCAGGGTTCCTCCAGGTACTTTATAGCAGCCATTCTCAACCATGGATCTATGTAAACCCTAGGTTTCCTCCAGAGCTTGCTGGGGGTTTGTTTTTTTTTTCCACTTGTGTACCTCTTGGCAGGCCATTTCCATAAACCATGCTCTTCAATTGGGTTGGGACAGAGGCTGGAGTAAGGTGTGGCCTAATGAGCAGGGGTGGCCACTCCTGCCAAATGGCAGGTGTAGCCCAATTGCAATAACCAGGAGAGAAGCTTAAAGGGGTATGGTTAAATAAAACCTAAGCCTACTCTGCTGTGGATCAGAGTGCAGGGGTCAGGAGCAGGGGCGGACTGACAACTCATGGGGCCCCCGGGCAATAGGGGATCATGGGGCCCCTGTGTCCTTGCCCAAACTCAAAAAAGCCTATGAAAAAGGTACCAGGGGCATCTCATGGGGCCCCCTACTGACCCCGGGCCCTCGGGCAGTGCCCAAGTTTCCAAATGGTCAGTCCGCCCCTGGTCACATGTGGCAAGAATTCAGCAGATCCTGCAGCTGGCTTTACAGGCAGATGTAGATGATTGCAGCCCCTCAGCCTGTACAAAGCAATGACAGGTTGAGAGCAGCCACAGCTGCCCATGGGTGTTCCAATGTAATAGCACATGAAGCCATTACCTTTTTTAGGAATAGATGATCAACACTGGACGCACACTGTTTAAACTACCATATACAAACGTATTGAGATCTGTGCTTACCCCCATTTTGCAAACTGGAGCCATTAAGGTCTTAAAGAGGCCCTGCCCAGTCTTTATCATCTCTGTTGAGCTTTTACTCCTTGTATCTACTGCAAATGCAATGACAGAACCCAGCTTTGGAGCAGGATATGTGGGTGTGTGAAGGAAGCAAGAGAAGAGATAAATGATAAAAGATATACTAGACAGCGGGCAGCCTGTACTACTCTCTCTTATACAACGTGGCTCTGTCTTTCCCAACAGACAGACCACTATGCACAACTGCAGAGACCTTTCCCCCATTTAAAAAGGGATTTTCCAGCAGCAAGTTTCAGCTACTGTCTGGAGGGCCCCCCTCCTGATATGTTCAGACTTCCATTTACAACACTCCACAGTTGCTAAATGTGCTTGATATAAAAGCCCAACTCTGACCAAAGCAGGGTTATGTAGCACCTCCATTTGGACTTTTGTTGTCTGTGTCCCTGCGGACAGGAATACTCAGAAGTTACAGACTTTATACGCTTTTCCTGCAAGCCCAGAAATTAAAAAAAACAGTGAAAGGTCTGGCTTTATACTGTATATTATAATCCAATAGTACAATGCCTAAACAATCTCTGTCCAGATAATCATGAAAATAACATGCATTCATTCCTAGGGTGACTACGCTCATTTTCTCCATTGTACTGATTGAGAGAGCCATGGATTCCACCAAGGCTGCTCCTCCGATTTGGATTACAAACATGTCTTCCTCTTTTCATCATCAAAAGGAAAAAAGAAAGGGGAAATCAGGCATGTAGTCAATAGGTATTTCTGTACTTGATGAATATATGCTTTCTAAAAAAAAAAAAGAAAATTAATGCAGCCACCACATTCAAGGACAGTGGGGAGCAGCAATATATTGTATTTTTTCTTGAGTTGAAAAACCTTTAATAAAAGCTATTTTTTTCTATGTGTCCCCCACAGGGCAAACTCTTCTTCCCCTGCTGTCCCCAAAACCCAAAAAGGAATAAAAAGAATAGTTCTCCCCTTTCAGTGATAGTTTCACCCAAACGTGTTCTCATTGAAGGTTTCTATACGTATTCCAGCTACAAATCAAAACTCCAGATTTGCCATCATCTTCTGTCCCGTGACAATGGTCACCAGACAAACAAGAAGGCTGATCTCCCCAGTGAGGTCACAAAGATATTTTTTGGTTGATTAGATAAACTTTAAGACAATTTTCTACTATAACTGAGAAGAGGTGGATCACAGAAGACCTTATGAATAACACCAGTCAATATGGCACTATGGCTCCAAAAACCCCAGTTTTTGTTGTATTATTGTAAATGTATATTGCTGATAAATCTCTGGGACCTCTCAGAAAAGTACTGCTTTGTTCCTTTGATCATGCACATAATACATCAAGCCAACATAGAGAGATATGTGTGACTCCTCTGCCCTGAAGCATCTCCGACACCTTCCCGAGGAGGTGGCCATATCTGAGGCACAAAACGCTTTTGTTTTAATGTATAGTCCATGTCCAAATAAACATTCAGTTTTATGAAGAAACAGCTTCAAAGATCATGCTTTGTAAATGCTAGCATTTTTTCCCCATTTTTTTAGCCTAAAATCTCTTAATATACAGCATTCATAGACACATAAACCACACATTGGAGGATCGTCCAGGATGTCCCAACAGGCATCAAGGGTGACCTCCCTCTGCACTAAGATGACTATGTTCTCCCCAGGCACTGACCACAAGGGTCTGAACCCCTCTCTACATCTTTTTTTTTTACATTTGATTCCATTTGGTTGTTTTTTTCTTCCCCCCCCCTCTTCTCGCAAGATATTTGAGCCACATAATATAATGTCAGTATTATAACCCCATCTGAAAAGTCTTGTGTAAAGCTGCACAATTCCAATAGTGCTTGACCTAATTCAAAGGGTTGCTTGTAGTGATTCCATGGATGGCACCTTGCAACACCAGTAAAAGAAGGTCACCAGCACTCCAGAAATGTGTTTATAGGATTTACTCAAAGCATGTGACGTACATATGCCTTAAAACAGCTGATGCTTCGGAGCCTCACAGGGTTCAAATCCTCAGGGTAACACAGTGATGACACCTTGAAAAAAACATTTGTGGTGTGCTGGTGTCTTCCTTCTCATCTGAAGATCAGTCGCTACAAAAACTTTCCTTACCTTGGCTTAATTCCTTCTAGTGAATGATAAAAGGAAAGCCTACATTGACTACATTTTCTGCAGTTACATCAGTTTTCCCATGATAAGCTACTGAGAGGATGGACTCAAGAGGCCTGAGACTGGATCACGTCATGTGCCTCAGAATAGGCCAAGTGAGTCAGGCCCTGTCCACACTTCAACGGGATCCTGATGATTACAATGCACACCCTCCTATTATTGTACTGGTGAAAATTACTGAAGCCTATGGTCAGGGGAGGGGGGGCATAACACTGGCAAGCGATGTGTTTTGAAAAATATTTGTAACTGCTGCAAATTATCTAGCCTCCTCAGTCATAAAGGGCAAGTTCACCTTTTCAAAAAAATAAATAAACAAAAATGAAGAAGTGACCTTACTCCAAAATATCCTGGCCATCGCTCTGGACCCCTCTGCTGGTATAGCAGTCTGTACTCCGGATATCACAATACACAACTGTGTGAGTAGCTATCATAATGCTCACAATGGCAATCACTCTATGGTCAAGATAACAAAAAAAAAAACGGAGTCAATAGAAGCACACATCTCCTGCGCTTGGAAACGGACCTCAGAAACAGTAGTTGGCTATATTTTCCTCTTGGCTTTGCTGGACATGACTCGCCTTGCTGCCCTCTCAAGACTAGGGACGTCTGACTTCTGACCGATTGAAACCATAGAACAAAAAAGATGCATCACATCACATTGAAGGACATAAAAAGAGCCAACAGGCTAATGCGTTTCGAGGGTTTTGCCTCTTCCTCAGAGCCCATCAAGAGGCCAGGCCTTCAAACAGGTTAACCTGTTGGATCTTTGGATGACCTACCATGTGATCTGATGCATTGTGGACTGGAATTTGCTGTTTTAATATGACAAGCTTGGAATACACCAGTTGGTTTCTAAGTATAAAAGTTACCTTGGTTTTAATAATGAAGTCAAGTTTTGAGGATAATGCACTAGACTGGTGCATCCTCTTTTTTGTTCATTGGTCAAGATATGTTTGAGGCCTCATTTACACACCATTTGGGTCAAATGCCAACAAGATTGAGCAAAAATCTCCAGCATATTTCACAAGCCTTTGCGATCAGCTGCTCAGCCTGTACAAATCAATGACAGAGGTGGCTCGCAGGGATGAAACCCGGTCCATGCGGTGACATCAACCCTGTGCCCCTCTGCTACTCCCAGAGCCCTGGACACCACCGGAGCGATGGGAAAACACCCCCAGAGTACGGCCAAAGGACCTGATGCTCCCACTGGACCTCCATCACTTGACATGCCTACCTGTTACCTATCTATTTGAGTGCAATTTTACCATTAAATCTGCCTGATTTTACCCGTCTACACTTAGAGTGGCGCCGCTATCTCCCATCTCTATCCACAAATCAATGATAGGCTGAAAAGCGCCGTGGTGGTTCACATGTCAACAGGCATCCAAGGTGTTGCATGCAATTAGGGAAACATGAATGGCCTTGAATGCGCACAGTTTGCATCCAGAACTGCTCATCTGTTTCTAATCGTGTGAAACACTTCAGCTGCCGATGACTCTAATGAGTTCATTTATTAACCACTTGCCTTCTGGTGGATGTACCCCCCCCCCCCCTTCCTGACCAGGCCATTTTTTGCGTTGCGGCGCTGCATTACTTTAACTGACAATTGCGTGGTCATGCAATGCTGCACCAAAATTAAATTTACGTCCGTTCTTTCAGTGCTATTTGATCAACTATGCGTTTTTTAATTTTTTGCGCTATAAAACAAAAAAAACACAAATTTTGAGGAAAAAAAAAACAATATTTTTGACTTTTTGCTAATAAACATATCCAGTAAAAAAAATTTAAAAATCAAATTTCATCATAAAATTTAGGCCAAAATGTATTCTGCGACATGTCAAAAAAAAAATCACAATACGTGTAAATTATTTAGTTTACGTTATAGCGTTTACAAATGGCGGTATAGATAGATTTTTTTTTTCTAGTAATGGCGGTGAGCAGCGACTTATAGTGGGACTTCGTGATTGTGGTGGGCATTCTGACACTGGGGGGGACTGAATAACTGCCACTGACATCCCAATGACACTAATACAGAGATCAGTGCTAATAAAAAGCACTGACACTGTACTAATGGCACTGGGCAGGAAGGGGTTAACATGTGGGGCAATCAAAGGGTTAACTGTGCTGTTTTACTATAAGGCTGTGAGCTGTGTTTCACTGTACACACACTGCTTTGTATGGCTGTGCTATGCAGAGCCATACAAAGCAGTGTGCAGAGATCTGTATCGTTTATATACAGATCTCTCCCCCGTCGATGATACTCGGCGATCACCGGGTGCCGGCGAGTAATCACTAGCCGGGACCCGGTGAATGACAGCCGAAGCCGCAAATGGTGGCGCAGGTAGGGGGCGTGCCCCCTACCCAGAAATGCAAAATCATGTATATATACACACGTGATTTTGCGCACCTATGTCGCCTTGTAGCAGTATTTCTGCTATAGGACAGCGTGGAACCGGTTAAAACTGAAAAGTGCCTAATCTGGTGCAGCTCTGCAAAGAAACCAATCAGCTTTCAGGTTTCATTATCAAAGCTTCATTGCGCAAGCTGAAGTTAGAAGCCGATTGGCTACCATGTACAGCTGCACCAGATTTTGCACGGTCCAGTTTTAGTAAATCAACTTCTAATGCCCCTGTTACAGGTGCGGACCGTTTGTTTCATCAGTTCAGTCACGTTTTTTCAAAGAAAAGAAAGCGAATGAAGTTTACATCAGTTTGTTACATCCACCAGCTAGAGTCCTTAGCCATTTGAGCCCCGGAGCCATTTTTTTCAAATGTTTTCATGCAAAAATGGACCATTTGACTGTTTCTATCCTTTATTCGTCCGGTCTGTTTCTTTAATGGATCAAAACTAAGACTTTAAAAAAAAAAAAAAAACGGATGTTGACAAAATCGAATGTAAACAGATGATCATCCATTTACATCCGTTTTTTCATAGAGATTCCATAGAGATTCACTGATGTCCATTTTTCATCCGTCAAGGGACCATAGACGAGTCGAAAAATGAAAAGTTCTGTTGATCGAAATACGAACATAGCTGATACGACTGTGCCATCAATTGTAGAAAAAAAAAACACCACCATGTTGGATCAGACACTTTTGATTGCTGCACGAAAGTCGTGTGTAGCAGCTAGCACACTAATGATGCGAAAAATGAACGAACGATTTGACAATCGACATGAATTTCGTTCATTTTTTCAACTCGTCTATGGACTGTTTTAAAGCCTAGTACACACGATGAAAATATTGGACGAAAAATACCACTTTTGGAGCGATCATCCAATCTGATCATTAGTACACAGTTTTTCAAAGACAATCACAACAGTTTATGTGAAGTTATCCAATGGGACAAGCACAAAAAATGTTTCTCGTACAATACCAGAACGAAAGATTAATCAGTACAATATCAGTCCATGAAAAAAAAAAAAGGAGTGACCAAGACTGCGCATGATTGGAAACTAAAGAATACATTATATTACAATACATCATCTTGGGAGTTATATTCTGTCTTGCAAGAATTTTCTAGAACCCTAGTGACCTATTTTTTTTCGATACGAGATTAGCATGCCCCAAAAAAAAGAAAAAAAAAAAAGAAAATCATTCGGTCCGATATTCTCATTGTATGTATTGGGCTTTAGCATGCATTTAAACAAACGCACCTGCAGTCTTATTGCATGTGAGAATCCACGCGACGCTGCAAGTTTCTAATCGCACCCACTCACATGCAATCTCTTATGCAGGCCATACATGGTTCAAATTCTGAACGATTTTTCATCCGAAAATCGGAAACGTAGTTCGCTCGGTAATCTGATGGTGCCATCATTGATTTCGAAAATCGGCCGACCAAGTCATAAAGTTCACCTATATACTGGCTAAACTTCTGGTGTTTCCAGGTCACGGCTCATGAGCATATTCTTTTCGGAAAAACGATGGTACGATTTAACCATAAAGTCGAAAATCGGTCGTTTTTCACAAATTTTCCAACATGCCGAAAAGGTGAGGAACCACGAAACTTGGCCCGTGCCATTAACCACACTCCAAAGACATGCTGGTAGGTGAATTGGATCCTGTGTAAATTGTCCCTAGCATGTGTATGTATGAATGTGAGTTAGGGACCTTAGATTGTACACCCTTGAGGGTTAGGGACCTTGAGACTGTACGCATCTTGAGGGTTAGGGACCTTAGACTGTACGCCCCTTGAGGGTTAGGGACCTTAGATTGTACGCCCCTTGAGGGTACGGACCTTAGATTGTACGCCCCTTGCTTGAGGGTTAGGGACCTTAGATTGTACGCCCCTTGAGGGTTAGGGACCTTAGATTGTACGCCCCTTGAGGGTTAGGGACCTTAGATTGTACGCCCCTTGAGGGTTAGGGACCTTAGATTGTACGCCCCTTGAGGGTTAGGGACCTTAGATTGTACGCCCCTTGAGGGTTAGGGACCTTAGATTGTACACCCCTTGAGGGTTAGGGACCTTAGATTGTACGCCCCTTGAGAGGTTAGGGACCTTAGATTGTACGCCCCCTTGAGGGTTAGGGACCTTAGATTGTACGCCGCCCTTGAGGGTTAGGGACCTTAGATTGTACGCCCCTTGAGGTTAGGGAGATTAGATTGTACCATTAGATTGTACGCCCCCTTGAGGGTTAGGGACCTTAGATTGTACGCCCCTTGAGGGTTAGGGACCTTAGATTGTACCCCTTGAGGGTTAGGGACCTTAGATTGTACGCCCCTTGAGGGTTAGGGACCTTATTGATTGTAGGGACCTTAGATTGTACGCCCATTGGGTTAGGAACCTTAGATTGTATGCATCTTGAGGGTTAGGGAGCTTAGATTGTACACCCCTTGAGGGTTAGGGACCTTAGATTGTACGCATCTTGAGGGTTAGGGAGCTTAGATTGTATGCATATTGAGGGTTAGGGAGCTTAGATTGTATGCCCCTTGAGGGTTAGGGATTGATGTGAATGTACTATATATATATATATATATATATATATATATATATATATATATATATATGTAAAGCACTGCGTAAAATTGACGGCGCTATATAAGTACCTGAAATAAATAAATAACCCACTAACAGAGCGAAAAATCGCCCAATTATTCTTAGGTCCGATTTTCGACCCATGTATGGCCGGCCTAATGCAGTGATCACATGAGATCGATTGGCCCTGGACACAGACAATTAGATGGAGGAGCTGGCAGCCTCCCATTGCTTTCAATAGGTCCGCCTTTCGCAGCTGATCGCACAAACTCCGCTGGGGGGGGGGGGGGGGGGGGGGGGGGGGAGTCTCACGTGTAACTGAAGTGTACATGTGTCCCAGAGCTGGCCATGAAACAAGATGAATTTTGTTCAAATGTCTTTTATGGAAATTAAAAAAAAAAAAAAATGTTCCTCAAAAGCATTCGACAGTACTAGTATGGCCAAATTTCAAATAAAGACCCTAAAAAACGCCATGCCAAGGTCTTGAATTCTAAGTTCGTATATATATTTTAAATGCCCATGTGCATCCCAAAATCGATTTTTCCTGATCAAAAACCACATTTCACAGTTAAGATTTTGGTCATTGGAAAAAAAAAATTCCATCCTTCATTTTCCTCTTCTCTGCAATCAAAAACGATCGGCAAATGTGCCCTTATTACCTATTAGAAAATCGAAATAAATGGTCTGAAAATGAATTTTTCCAAAAGAAATTCATCTGGTGTATAGCCATTTTCATGACATCAGAGTGGCCAACTCATCCCTGCTGACACATGCATTGTACGGGATCTGGGGCTGATTAAACGCAGTTCGGTCTTGGACTGAATTTAATAAAGCAAAGAATCTTTATATCTTCCATAATTTAAAAGGATGAGTTATCAGCAGTTCACGTGTAATTGGATCCTAATAGATCTCCAATTGATGGCTGCATTAGATCCGTATTTGCCATAGATTGCGCTCTCTCTGGCTATCGCTGTATCGCTGAATCTTTTACAGGCAGTTAATTCCATGAAATGAACATTGAGTGTTGGGAAGCTTTTCCTCTGTCTAGTCTGGCAGTGTCAGCGCGGGATCACACCCTCCCTCCGACAATCAGAGACTCTCACATCCGACCATGCAGAAAAATGGCCTGGCTGCAGTTGGCAGAACACATCCCAGGGGTGTCTGGCGCTTAAACGTTAAAATAAAATATACAAAACAGCGCCCGAAGGAAAATCCACACAAGGCACAATTCCCCGACCAAGTTTAATATGGATTTTTACCGCCTGGGATATCTGTGGGTCTCAGAAGATGACAGCAGAGCCACACTCCCTATCCTTAGCAACCCAATCGCTAAGATTTCATGGGGTCCCCGCACATCTCTGGATTCTTAAACCGATTTGAATGTAAAATGACATTTTTTTTATTGTGTTTGATCTCTTGCACAATTTAGTTTTTTTAATATGGCTATATCCCAACCAGGGCACCACCTGCCTGGAGTTTGCATGTTCTCCCTGTGCCTGTGTGGGTTTTCTCCGGGTACTCCAGTTTCCTCCCACACTCTAAAGCTAGTAGGTTAGCAAGCACAGTGGCCAAATGGTTAGCACTTCCGCCTGGCAGTACTAAGATCATTGGTTTGAATCCCAACCACGGCATCATCTGCCTGGAGTTTGCATGTTCTCCCTGTGCCTGTGTGGGTTTCCTCCGGTTACTCTAAAGACATGCTGGTAGGTTAGCAAAGTGGCTAAATGGTTAGCACTTCCGCCTGGCAGTACTAGGGTCATTGGTTTGAATCCCAACCACGGCACCACCTGCCTGGAGTTTGCATGCTCTCCCTGTGCGGGTTTCCTCCGGGTACTCCAGTTTCCCTCCCACACTCTAAAGACATGCTGGTAGGTTAGCAAAGTGGCTAAATGGTAAGCACTTCTGCCTGGCAGTACTAAGGTCATTGGTTCGAATCCCAACCACGGCACCACCTGCCTGGAGTTTGTGTGTTCTCCCTGTGTGGGTTTCCTCCGGGTACTCTGGTTTTCCTGCCACACTTCAAAGACATGCTGGTAGGTTAATTGGATCCTGTCAAAATTGTCCCTAGTATGTGTATGTATGAATGTAAGTTAGGGACCTTAGATTGTACGCCCCTTGAGGGTTAGGGACTGATGTGAATGTACAATATATATGTAAAGTGCTGTGTAAATTGAAGGCACTATATAAGTACCTCTAACAATAATAATTACTCCGGTTTCCTCCCACACTCCAAAGACATGCTGGTAGGTTAATTGGATCCTGTCTAAATTGGCCCTAGTATGTGTATGTATGAATGTGAGTTAGGGACCTTAGATTGTACACCCCTTGAGGG